TTATCACACCCTTTACCTCATCATTCCACCAATCACTCCTCTTTCCTCCTGCCCCACCCTCCTATAGCCACAAACTTCTGCCCCACATTCAAACACTGCATTTTTAAAACTATTCCACCCCTCTTCAATCCCCACACTACCTATACTTGCACTAGCCCACTTTTCTGCTAATAATTGCTTAAATCTCACCCTAACTTCCTCCTCCCTTAATTTATAAACTTTCACCTCTCTCTTACCTGCTGTTACCATTTTCCGTTTGCTCCATCTACCCCATACTCTAACTGTAGCTACAACTAAATAGATCCGATACATCTGTTGCCCTTCTGTAAACGTGCACATCCTGAATCCTACCCATCAACCTTTTATTCACCAATACATAATCTAGCAGACTACTTTCATTACATGCTATATCATATCTTTTATGTTTTTCATAAAATATGTATTACTTATTACCAAACCTCTTTCTACACACAGTTCAATTAAAGGCTCCCCCATTTCATTTACCCTTGGCACCCCAGATTTACCTACTACTCCCTCCACAACATTTTTACTGACTTCAGCATTTAGGTCCTCAACCACAAGTACTCTTTCACTTGGTTCAAAACTAACCATGCACTCACTCAACATTTCCCAAAATCTCTCTCCCTCTTTACACTTCTCTCTTCTCCAAGTGCATAACCTTACTATAACCCACTTTTCACATCCAACCTTTATTTTACTCTACATAATCCTTGAATTTATACATTTATATTCCTTTTTTTCCAGCCATAACGTATCTGTCAACATTATTGCTACTCCTTTCTTAGCTCCAACTCTATTAGAAACCTCTGACCTAGTCCCATTTATTTCTCCCCACTGAAGCTCTCCTACCCCCTTCAGCTTTGTTTCACTTAGAGCCAGGACATCCAGCTTCTTTTCTTTCATAACATCCACAATCATCTCTTTCTTATCATTCACACTACACCCACACACATTCACACATCCCACTTTGCTGGTTTTCTTTTTATTATTTTTATTAAGCTGTTCAGGAAAAGGGGTTACTAGCCCATTGCTCCTGGCATTTTAGTTGACGTTTACAACTCGTATGGCTTTATTTATTTATTTATTTGCAAACAGTACATAGAGATTGTGTATATACAATAGTGGGTTGCAATGCAAAGAGAGCCTCTATTATGCCTAGGCATTATGGGCCAACCTAACATTATTGGCTTACATTCTACTTAATACTAAGAAGTAGTATATCATAGTTGTACAGTAGGAAAGTAATTATTTCATAGTTGTACAGTTGAATATTAATTATAAATGAATCAAAATTTGTATAATACAAAGATGTATGTATTTTTATTCTAAAATGCTTTTGTGAAAAACAATGATTCAATTATATTCCTGTCAACAATGGATAAAAGGTTCAATGTGATTGTTTCAGTTATGATGTGGGATTACATAGGTGAGTAAATGTGTACTGAGTATTTAGCATTTAGTCTAGGGTGATTAAGTGGCTTTTGAGAAGAATCTTAAATTAATTTTCAGACTGGGTTACTTTAATATCTTCTGGTAATGAATTCCATATTTTGGGGTCCTTTATGTGCATAGAGTTTTTACACAGTGTGATATGGACACGAGGTATATCAAAAAGAGATCTGTGTCTTGTGTTGTGGTCATGTGTCCTGTTTAGGTTGGTGAGGAAAAGTTTGAGTGGGGGGTTTATATTTGCATGTATTGTTCTGTGTATGTAGTAGGCACATGAATAAGTATGGATGTTCTTAATGGTAAGCAGATTCAGACTTTTGAAAATTGGTGGAGTATGCTGGCAGGAGTGGGAATTTGTTATTCTTACTTCTGCCTTTTGCTGGGTTATTAGGGGTTTTAGGTGATTGGATGTTGTTGATTCCCATGCACAAATTCCATATGTAAGATAAGGGTATATGAGTGAATGGTACAGTGCCAGGAGAGCTGATTGTGGAACGTAGTACCTTATCTTTGATAGTATGCCTACAGTCTTGGAGATTTTCTTGGTGATTTGTTGTATGTGTGTCCGGAACTTAAGGCTACTGTCAAGGTGGATACCTAGGAATTTTCCCTCTGCGAATCTTGTGACTGATGATCCATTTAGCGTTATGTTAATTGGATCATTTGCAGCTTTGTTTCCAAACTGAATGAAATAGGTTTTATCAGTGTTCAGGGTAAGGTTGTTAGTCATTATCCAGGCAGATAATTTCTGTTATTCAGCATTGACTGTGTTTGCTAGTATGACTGTGTTTGGGTGGAAAAATACATGTGTAGTGTCATCTGCAAATAATATGGGTTTGAGTTGCTGTGATGCATTCGGTAGATCATTGATGTAGATGAAAAAGAATAGTGGTCCAAGGGCGCTTCCTTGTGGGACTCCTACTGTGATTGGTTGGGTGGAGGAGTTTGCATCATTTGCATACACATTGAGTTCTGTTACTAAGGTATGACTTTAGGTAGTTGAGGGAGTGGCCTCTGATACCATAGTGCATTAATTTGGAGTACAGTAGTTCATGGTCGACTGTATCGAAAGCTTTACGTAAATCAATGAAAATGCCCAGCGTGACTTCTTTCTTTTCAAGTGCAGTATATATTAGTTTTAGCATGTGTATGATAGCATCATTTGTGCTTTTATTATTCCTGAATCCAAACTGACAAGGGTTTAAGATGTTGTGTGAAACGAGGTAGGAATACATCCATCTATGAATTAATTTTTCAAAGATTTTAGAGAGCAGTGGTAAGTTAGATATTGGTCTATAGTTATTCAAGTCAGCTTATAGAAGAAAGGTTCTTATTCCACTTCCCCATGGATATAAAAGGAAAAGTAATAAGAACAAAAACTATTAAGATAAAATCAAAGAAAACTCAGATTAGTGTGTATACATAAACATGTACATGCATGTGTAGTATGACCTAAGTGTGTATGAAACAGAAAAAAGACACCTGCCCTCCTACCATCATGTAAAACAAATACAGGTTTCTGTCTCACACTCATTTGGTAGGACAGTAGTACACCTACCATCCGACTTACGGCCTGCTCGACCTACGACCACTTGACTTACGGCCGTGTTTTTTATGCCAAATTTCTGGGAAATAAACAGCTGTTTATGTTGTACACAGTGTTTATCCTAAACCTTACAGTATAAAATACGGTACTAACAGCATAAAAAGTAAAGTAAAAAATGAAATACCAAAATAAAACAATAAAATAAAGTCATTACAAAAATGTGATGTTGATATTCAGTAGTAAATTTCGACTTACGTCCATTTTGACTTATGACCGGTTGGTCAGAACCAAGCTTGGTCGTAAGTCGGATGGTAGGTGTACTTCCTTAGGTGGATGCTGTCTACCAACCTACTACATATTTTTTTTTTTCCAACAAACCGGCCATATCCCACCAAGGCAGGGTGGCCCAAAAAGAAAAATGAAAGTTTCTCTTTTTAAATTTAGTAATTTATGCAGGAGAAGGGGTTACTAGCCCCTTGCTCCCGGCATTTTAGTCGCCTCTTACAACACGCATGGCTCACAGAGGAAGAATTCTGTTCCACTTCCCCATGGAGATAAGAGGAAATAAACAGGAAAAAGACCTAGAAAGAAAATAGATGAAAACCCAGAGGGGTGTGTATATATATGCTTGTACAGTGGACCCCCGCATAACGATTACCTCCGAATGCGACCAATTATGTAAGTGTATTTTTGTAAGTGCGTTTGTACGTGTATGTTTGGGGGTCTGAAATGGACTAATCTACTTCACAATATTCCTTATGGGAATAAATTCGGTCAGTACTGGCACCTGAACATACTTATGGAGTGAAAAAATATCGTTAACCGGGGGTCCACTGTACTTGTATGTGTAGTGTGGCCGAAGTGTAAGTAGAAGTAGCAAGATGTACCTGAAATCTTGCATGTTCTTTCTTCTTTCTTTCAACACATCGGCTGTATCCCACCGAGGCGGGGTGGCCCATAAGGAAAAAATGAAAGTTTCTCCTTTTCTTTCTTCTTTCTTTCAACACACCGGCCGTATCCCACCGAGGCGGGGTGGCCCAAAAGGAAAAACGAAAGTTTCTCCTTTTACATTTAGTAATATATACAGGAGAAGGGGTTACTAGCCCCTTGCTCCCGGCATTTTAGTCGCCTCTTACAACACGCATGACTTACGGAGGAAGAATTCTGTTCCACTTCCCCATGGAGGTAAGAGGAAATAAACACAAGAACTAGAAAGAAAATTGAAAAAACCTTAGAGGGATGTGTCTGTATATGCTTGTACATGTATGTGTAGTGTGACCTAAGTGTAATTAGAAGCAGCAAGACGTACCTGAAATCTTGCATGTGCATGAGACAATAAAAAGACAACAGCAATTCTACCATCATGTAAAACAATTACAGGCTTTCGTTGTACACTCACTTGGCAGGACGGTAGTACCTCCCTGGGCGGTTGCTGTCTACCAACCTACTAAATATGTTAATGTATATTAATGTTTAATTAGCCAAACTGAAGTTATTATTTTGTATATAATAATCAAGGGCTACATTTATTTACCATTTACATAAAGTGTCTCTTGATTATGATATGCTGAATGAATTATTGTCTGGAGGGAGGGGGGTAAAGGAGGTTTTGTGTGCGAGGGGCTTGGACTTCCAGCAAGCATGCGTTAGCATGTTAGATAGGAGCGAATGGAGACAAATGGTTTTTAGGACTTGCTGTGCTTTTGGAGAGTGAGCAGTGTAATATTTATGAAGGGATTCTGGGAAACCAGCAGGCCAGACTTGAATCTTGGAGATGGGAAGTACAGTGCCTGCTTTCTGAAGGAGGGGTGTTAATGTTGCAATTTTATAACTGTAGTGCAAGTGCGCCTCTGGCAAGACAGTGTTGGAGTGAATGATGGTGAAAGTTTTTCATTTTCGGGCCACCCTACCTTGTTGGGTAACAGCTGATGTGTCAAAAAAAAATAATTATGTAAAATGTTGTGTGTTTTTCTTTTTTGCACAGTTACCAGTGAATATTATGGAACGTGTCATTCCTGCTTCACAAAAGCCTGGTGTGTTCCTTAGTGACCGAGCAGCCACCAGCCACCAAGCTCTTATTCGATCAGACCAGTTGAGTCGTGTATCAGCCTCGGAACCATGGAGAGCACAACTGTTGCTTCATCATCAGATGGATTTAAATACAATGGAGAAGAAAACAAATGATTGTCGATATAAAACTATTTACGATTTTGAAATTGATGCTTTAACAATTGTACATAATGTTGTTATCTATCAAGGAGGTAAGAAATTGAATAGCAGTTTGTGTGATGCTGATGGTAGCATATTTAGTACACTATTGTAAAGATCTTTGTGACTCCTGTAATTTGTTTTATATTGTTTGAGCTGTTTTTGAAATATAATATTGTCCCTTGTTACTAAACGTGTCTGCAGTTTACAAATTGTGGCCTAACAATATGTATGTCTTCTGCAGTGTTCTTTAATTCTTACGTTATTTTATGTATTAATGTAGAGCAATTTTCAGTTCACAGCAGTGTCGCAGACATGGCACGGCAGATGCTGCGAGACTGTCAGTATGATCTAATGGAATTAGAACAATGTAAAGACTGCTACCGAATGTCTAATGAAAAATCTGACAAATATTGGTTTTGTAAACCTTGTCGACCTCCACATCAGCTAGTATATGCTAAACAAAAGGGATTTCCATATTGGCCAGCAAAGGTGGTTAATGCTTCCAGCATTTGTACGCTGAAGTGTATAATGTATTCCCATATAACTTAAGTTCTCTAAAAATGTGTAATATTTTGCCTTGTACTGAATATAGGTGCTACAGTCTAACCTAATTTTCTTTAATAATATGATAAGGTTTGAAAGAAATTATGTGGAAATTGTTTTGCTAAAGAAAAACAAATGCTTTTCAGGTTATTAGATTAGAAAATGAACTTTATGATGTACGATTTTTCGGAAGTCAACATCAGAGAGCTGTTATAGAAAAGTCTCACATACGTCCAATATCTGTCAATATTCATACACTTCAGGTTAGTGGATTTTATGAACTATTAAGTCTTAATATGTTTTTAATAGCCTTGTTACTTCCCACCACTCTCATTGACCCTTTCAAGTTTAGTGTTTTTCTTTGAATATGAAAGTAATATTTTATATTGATAATGAGAATAATATCTCAGAGACCCTATGCAAGGTAAATTATATGTAAAATATTTTGCACTGTCCAGAGGCGTCGCTAGAGTTGGTGTCAGCCGGGGCTGAATCTCTGGTGTCACCCGGGGCAGCATCTTTGGTGTCACCCCCATGAAATTAAAGGGCGGGGAGATGGAGGGGGTAAACTCTAGTTACGTCACTACTGCAGGACCAGTGACAAATGTTTAGCAATGAGAATGTCTAAGGGCCATAAACTGAACAGGAGAATACTTCTCAACTTTATTAATGATAAACTCAAATGCAGGTACCATTCGACTTACGACCAAGTTCGGTTCCGACAAACCGGTCGGAAGTCGAAATGGACGTAAGTCGAACCTTACTACTGAATATCAACATCACATTTTTGTAATGGAGAGCGTATAAATCTGTAGGGGAAGGAAGGCGGGTTAGGGGTCGTCCTCGAAAAGGTTGGAGGGAGGGGGTAAAGGAGGTTTTGTTGGCGAGGGGCTTGGACTTCCAGCAAGCGTGCGTGAGCGTGTTAGATAGGAGTGAATGGAGACGAATGCTATTTGGGACCTGACGATCTGTAGGAGTATGAACAGGGTAATATTTAATGAAGGGATTCAGGGAAACTGGTTATTTTTATATAGCCAGACTTGAGTCCTGGAAATGGGAAGTACAATGCCGGCACTCTAAAGGAGGGGTTCGGGATACTGGCAGTTTGGAGGGATATGTTGTGTATCTTTATAGGTAAATGCTTCTAAACTGTTGTGTTCTGAGCACCTCTGCAAAAGCAGTGATAATGTGTGAGTGAGGTGAAAGTGTTGAATGATGATGAAAGTATTTTCTTTTGGGGGATTTTCTTTCTTTTTTGGGTCACCCTGCCTCGGTGGGAGACGGCCGACTTGTTAAAAAGAAAAAAAAAAAAATTTGTAATGACTATTTTGTTGTTTTATTTTGGTATATCTTTTTTGCTTTACTTTTTATGCTGTTAGTACTGTATTTTATACTGTAAGGTTTAGGATAAACACTGTGTTCAACAAAACATTTGTTTATTTCCCAGAAATTTGGCATAGAAAACACTGTCGTAAGTCGATTGGCCGTATGTCGAGCAGGTCGTAAATCGGATGGTAGGTGTACCACTTTGAGTATAGGCAACAGATCCTACATATATTCATCTTCAACAATGCCAAAACAAAAATAAAAACTTCAAAAATAAAGAAAAACATTGCAATATCAGAGAAATACTAGTTCCGATTTAACCTTGAGTACAGGTAACATCTCATTGTATCTGATCTTACATTTCCTTGCCTTCAATTATGCAAAATCATCTATTACATCATCAAAATCAATTATTTTCCCTATATAGGCTTATTTGTACTTTGTTAATATATAATAGGCTATACAGAAATGAAGGATTCTTCTCTTATGTTGGTACAGCACTGTTTTAGGCAGTAGTGTCACCTTCTTTAGAGGCTCTGTGGTGTCACCCGGGGTGGCCTCCCCCCCCTCACGATGCTCCTGGCACTGCCTTTGTGAATCTTGGATTATGCAAGTGCTAATGTAAATATGTTGGTGTGTTTATGCATATATGCTGTGGATATAAATGGTCATATATGCTGTGGAACTGACAGGATCATGACAGAAATGTTAAAAGTAGGGGGGGATATAGTGTTGGAGTAGTTGGTATTTTTGTTTAATAAATGTATGAAAGAGGGGAAGGTACCTAGGGATTGGCAGAGAGCATGTATAATTCCTTTATATAAAGGGAAGGGGGACAAATGAGATTGTAAAAATTATAGAGGAAGAAGTTTACTGAGTATACCAGGAAAAGTGTATGGTAGGGTTATTATTGAAAGAATTAGAAGCAAGGGGCTAGTAACCCCTTCTCCTGTATATATTACTAAATGTAAAAGGAGAAGCTTTCGTTTTTCCTTTTGGGCCACCCCGCCTCAGTGGGATACGGCCGGTGTGTTGAAAGAAAAAGAAAATTAGAAGCAAGACAGAATGTAGGATTGCAGATGAGCAAGGAGGTTTTTAGAGTGGGTAGGGGATGTGTTGATCAAGTGTTTACATTGAAACATATATGTGAACAGTATTTAGATAAAGGTAGGGAAGTTTTTATTGCATTTATGGATTTAGAAAAGGCATATGATAGAGTGGATAGGGGAGCAATGTGGCAGATGTTGCAAGTATATAGAATAGGTAGTAAGTTACTAAATGCTGTAAAGAGTTTTTATGAGGATAGTGAGGCTCAGGTTAGGGTGTGTAGAAGAGAGGGAGACTACTTCACGGTAAAAATAGGGCTTAGACAATGATGTGTAATGTCACCATGGTTATTTAATATATTAATAGATGGGGTTGTAAAAGAAGTAAATGCCTGGGTGTTGGGGAGAGGGGTGGGATTAAATTATAGGGATTCAAATACAAAATGGGAATTGACACAGTTACTTTTTGCTGATGATACTGTGCTTATGGGAGATTCTAAAGAAAAGTTGCAAAGGTTAGTGGATGAGTTTGGGAGAGTGTGTAATGGTATAAAGTTGAAAGTGAACATAGAAAAGAGTAAGGTGATGAGGGTATCAAATGATTTAGATAAAGAAAAATTGATTATCAAATTGGAGAGGAGTATGAAAGAAGTGAAAATTTTCAGATATTTGGGAGTTGACGTGTCAGCGGATGGATGTAAGAAGGATGAGGTTAACCATAGAATTAATGAAGGAAAAAAGGTGAGTGGTGCATTGAGGCATACGTGGAGACAAAAAACATTATCTATGGAGGCAAAGAAGGGAATGTATGAAAGTATAGTAGTACCAACACTCTTATATGGGTGTGAAGCTTGGGTTGTAAATGCTGCAGCGAGGAGGCGGTGGAGATGTCCTGTCTAAGGGCAACATGTGGTGTAAATATTATGCAGAGAATTCGGAGTGCGGAAGTTAGGAGAAGGTGTGGAGTTAATAAAAGCATTAATCAGAGGGCTGAAGAGGGGTTGTTGAGGTGATTTGGTCATTTAGAGAGATTGGATGAAAGTAGAATGACATGGAGAGCGTATAAATCTGTAGGTAGGGGAAGGAAGGCGGGGTAGGTGTCGTCCTCGAAAAGGTTGGAGGGAGGGGGTAAAGGAGGTTTTGTGGGTGAGGGGTTTGGACCTCCAGCAAGCATGCCTAAGCGTGTTAGATAGGAGTGAATGGAGACAAGTGGTATTTGGGACCTGACGAGCTGTTGGGGTGTGAGCAGGATAATATTTAGTGAAGGGATTCAGGACAACCGGTTATTTTTATGTAGCTGGACTTAAGTCCTGGAAATGGGAAGTACAATGTCTGCACTCTAAAGAGGGGTTTGGGATATTGGCAGTTTGGAGGGATATGTTGTGTATCTTTATACGTAGTATATGCTTCTAAACTGTTGTGTTCTGGGCACCTCTGCAAAAACAGTGGTTATGTATGAGTGAGGTGAAAGTATTGAATGATGATGAAAGTATTTTCTTTTTGTGGATTTTCTTTCTTTTTGGGTCACCCTGGCTCGGTGGGAGACGGCCAACTTGCTAAAAAAAAAAAATGATGCAGTGAATGTAAATGGTCATATGCTGTGGATATAAATGGTCATATATGCTGTGGATTAAGTCATATATGTTGTGGGCATACATTAAGGTGGCTCAAAAAATTGAATGTTGGAAATGACTTTCACCACAAGGCTGTCCATATAACATTTTGTAATGTAAATATAATGAAAAAATTTGTTAGCTAAAAGGACACAAGTGCAAGTAATGTGACATTTTATTGTGGCAACGTTTCGCTCTCCAGGAGCTTTATCAAGCCGTTACGAAAAATTAAGACATATTGGTCAATATTTGAACATATGTACATATGCAATAGAACCACAGTGAATGTTAATTAAGTTCTTAGCACCTTCATGTTCTCTCAGCCACTATTGCTTGAGAATATGACTGAGAGATCATGAAGGTGCTTGGAATTTAATTTTTATTTACTATAGTTATATTGCATATTAGTTATCACTTGTTTTCTTGTGATTTTATTACATATGCAGTATATGATGCAATAAGATCACAAGATACAGGGAATATCTTAATATGCCAAATAACCAGTGAAAAATGGTGAAATTCCAAGAGAATTCATGATTTCTCACATTATCAAGGAACAGTGTTCCTTGATAATGTGAGAAATCACAAAAGCTCTTGGAATTACAGTTTTTTGCTGTGGTTTTTTTGCATAGAGTATATGATTTTTTTCTTTTTAAGCCACCCGTTCTTGGTGGGGGATAACTGTTTAGGTTAAAAACCACACATACATTTGTTTAACCTTAATGCCCACCTCCCACCAAGGCAGAGGTGACCAAAGAAAAATACTTATTCACCATCTTCATTCAGACAGAAATTTGCTGACATCACAATTCAGATTACACATTACACTCTGACTGCAACATCCTGCACTGTTCAGAGTGCAGGCACTGCCCTTCGCACCTCCAGGACTCAAATCCAGCTAACCAGTTTTTCCTGAATACTTTCACACTCCAACAGCATATCCATTAAAAACTACTTGTCTCCGTTCACACCTATTTAACATGCTCACACAAGCCTGTTGGATGCACAAGCTCCTGAAGCTCAAAGCCCCTTTTAAACTTTACTGGAAAGACCCCTACCACCTTCCCTCCTACTTCAGACTTATATACCCTCTTCATCATCCTGTCTACCTTTGTCCTCTCTACATACCCACACTGCCTTAACAACCCCCTTGGTGTTTCCACACCATTTTCTAATCTCCACACCTTGAATTCTCTGCATAATATTTACACCATACATTGCTCTCAAACATAACATCTCTTCTGCCTGCAGCCTCCTTCTTACTGTACAGTTTAAAGTGTTGGTCCTACTATACTCTTGTACATTCTCCTTGTTTGCCTAAATAGATAAACATGTTTCCTCAGATTTGTCAACATTTTACCACTACCTTTTTTTTTACCCTTGCGTATTCCCTGGTTCACCTCGTCATTCTTAGGTCCATCTGCCAATATGTCTGCTTCCAAATATCTGAATACATTCACTTCCTTCCTCCAATCTGACATGCAATCTTTTATTGCCCTTTTGTATGGTTGTTTTTAATTTCTACTTATTAGATGCAAACAAATAAAAACCACATAATTCATTGTTGAGCCCTGAACATCTCACAGCATATATTCATAGCCATCTAAGCCATGACCACTGTCCTAGGCTAAGCTTAGACAAAGGTCAGCGCGTTTGCAAACAAATAAATGCAGAATATTATTAAGCCCTAAGAAATCACAAAAATATTAAAACTATGGTTTCAGCCAGTCTCTACCAAACAAATGAGAGAGCTCTTTACATTCATAAAATAAATATACAGAAAGAGAATGAATGACAGAGCAAAAATAACCTGTGAAAAAAATTGTGAAGTAGCTTCATTGAATAAATACTTTAATTAGATTTACAAATAAGTTAGACAGGGACAGTACATGAATTGGAATGAATTACTGCAAATAGGAGAACCTGCCTCAACTAATTAATTACAGACTTGCATAAATTAGAAGTGGATAAGAATTATGCAAATTCCATTGCAGAATCAGGGAGGACATCAGAGGATACAAAAATAGCATTAGTTGCTAATACAAAAAATGAGCTGCTTGACTCCTCCCTGAGCACCTGCAAAATGTAATATTGTACAAATATCTCAAATGTGGGAAAACTATTGCTGCATATACAGGCAGGTTTACATTTAGTACTGGATATGTAAATATTGAAGTTAGGAGAGATAATAACCAGTTTGGATAGGCAATCTTTAATTAATACCCATGTCACCCAACTGCATATGACACTCACAAATCAACTTGTGTAGATGTACAGTGAATACTGATGAAGCACTGGTAAAGTGGAGAGCTCTGCTCACTTCAGCTAGTTATGAAATTAGCTGGACTAAAGGGAGTATACTGTATTTTTTAGCTCTGTTCAGTTTCACCAAGGAAAGGAATTCAGTAAAAAAGTTTACACCATCTACATGAAGTACAGTGTGCATGAAAAATACTTCTTGTGAATACTGATGAAGCACTGGTAAAATGAAGAGCTCTGCTTGCTTCGGCTAGTTATTAACCCTTTGAGGGTCCAACACAGGGTCTTAAGTATTTTCAAAAAAGAAAAAAATTATTATTTTTTCTTATGAAATGGTAGAGAATCTTTTCCTGAAGGTAATAAAATAAAAGGTATGATGAAATTACACTACTGTGAATTTTAATGCATCAGTGATTTTTACGCATCGGCGGCTCCTATTTTAGGTCAATTACATTATTCCAGTCGACCAAATTCTTAGCTATTTTGCTAGTATTACTTTTATTTTATTGACTGAACACAAGAAACTGCCCAATTAACTATTTCAACTACCCAGTAAAGTGATCAGAAATTGGTAATTTGGCCAATTTCACACAAAGTTCAAAATATTCCAATTTCAAAATAGGGTCCAGAATAAACAGTGCAGGAATTCCTGGCACTAAAATAACATTTGCTCTGTTATTAGTTATGTTTCCAGACTTTACACATGAATTCTATTTTGATTTTTTATTCATAAAGAATTTTTATTCACACCAAAAAGTAGAAGATTTACTGTTATGCAATATTGTAATAACTGTATAAATAATATCAGTACATTCGTGACTGTATATTAGACCCACCAGTTGATGTGCATTTGTTTACTCTTGAACATCGGCAAAAATTGAATATTTCAGCTACTTTGAGCTCAATTTCAAGCTATTTTCAGTACTAAAACCAATCAAAATCATCTCTATTTCTGTAATATATCTTCCATTCTATCAAATGAGACCAAGAAATTGCAAATACAGCCGTTAAAACCATTAAGAAATACACCGCAAAGTTGCTCTTTTAATCCAAAAAAATGGTTGTAGTTTTTTTCTCGTTATGCACTGCGTGCTGCAGGATTTGTTTTATATGGTGCACACTTACCACATAGATCCAGTCTCTCATATCTAGGCCCAAATTTACTGCTCTCAGCTTATCTGAGTGTATTGAGCTCATGGCGTAGAACTACGGCTTTGTCCCTGTGGACAAGGCATAGGACTATGGCTTGGACCCTCAAAGGGTTAAACTAGCTGAATTGAGTAGAAAGAGTATACTGTATTTCTTTGACTCTGCTCAGTTTCACCCAGGAAAGGAATTCAATAGAAAAAACAAAGAAAGTGGACACCATCTACATATAGTACTTCGTGCATGAAAAATATTTCTTGTATTTTGTAGGTAAAAAGAACTTCAGCATGGAATAAAGCATGTGAAGAACTAAAAAAACATCAGGAGTTTCTTTCAATGATGTCCAATCATGAGCCAGATCACAGGAATATGCGCACAGATTCAGATCCTCGGCATAAAGTTGATACATTGTCTCCTCACCAAGAACCTCAACATCAACACAGGTAAGACTTACTCATTTATACTATCATTGTCTTATCAAAGGCATGAAGATACAACAGTTTAGATGCCCTTCTAAACAGCAAATATCCCAAACCCCTCGTTTAGGCACTGTACAGACTGGCCATCCCTCACTGAGGCAGGGGACCCCAAAAAGAAGAAACTATGAAGTTTTTCTTCTTTTTACATTTAGTATTTTATACAGGAGAAGGGTTCACTAGCCCCTTGCTAGCAGCATATTTGTCACATTTTACAACATGCATGTCTTACAGAGGAACCTAAGGTTTAGGTTCATTGATCAAAAGCAGACCTAGGCAGGGTAAGACAAGGTAGGGCAAGGCATGGCAAGGCAGGGCAAGGCAAGGCAGGGCAGGGCAAGGCAAGACTAGGCAGGGCAAGGCTGGGCAGAGCAGGGCAGGGCAAGGTAAGGCAGGGCTGAGCAAAGCAGGGCTGGGTAAGGTAGGGCTGAGCAAAGCAGGGCTGGGCAAGGCTACGCAAAGCAGAACAGGGCAGGGCAAGATTGGGCAAGACAGGGCTTGCCCCCCTCCTTGACTTCTTCTCTGCCTACCTCTCTTCCTCCTTGCCTCTCTCCCTCTTTGTCTATCTCCCTTTCTGCCTCTCTTCCTTTCTGCCTCCCTCTCTTCCTCCTTCCCTCCTCTGCCTGCCTTCCTCCCTTCCATCCTCTCTCCCTCCCTCCTTTGATCATTGAAACTAAAACCTTGGACAAATATGTGAGTGATAAAGGTTGGATTTGAGTACAACCTGCTTAGCATGGGCCAGTAGGTCTTCTGTAGTGTTCCTATATTATGTGTTATGTAAACAGTAAGGAAAGAAGCCAACATGAACTACTGGATATTATCAAATTTATATAAGGTTGAATATGGTTACTGAGTGTGGTTTATACCTTAATTTACCAAAGAAGTAGGCCCCTCGCTATGTCAGAATTTCAACCTTTCAAAAGCAGTATCCATGAAAAGGTCAACCCCCCAACATTTTGCTTAAAAATGTGGTCTTAAAATCTTGACTTATACATTGGTACATACAGTAACTTCAGCATATAATGTATTTATGTAAGTTTACAAATTCCATGAACAGGTGCTGCACATTGATAGCTATAATTTTGAATAAAAAAATTTGTGTTTATAAACTTTTCTGAATCTGTTTATCAGTCATACATTTTTTAAATTTCTGAGGAGGGTGCTTTTAGTTCCTTAATTAAGATTTCAAGGTCAGTTTAATTGCCATTGACTTATTATATTTAACAATGCCACAAAAAAAATAAATTACCATTACTACCACTACTGAAGCATATAGAATACAAGCAGTATGGAACATTTATTAGTTAACAACTTTCTATTCTGCTGTATTTTAATGTCTGTGGTATTGATACTTTGTACTTTTGGTTTAGAAAAGCATGTAAGCAAACACTAGGACAAATTTATTTAAAATATTTTGTCAAAAAAACAGTATACGTATATAGGTGGAGAGTGAGGTGTGAGTGACGCATGGTGACCTGAAGAATGCCGTGTTGGGATGAGGATGGATAGATAATGTGTCTACCCATCACATGATCCCATTGTCTACCCATCTTCAACATGACATTCTTTAGGTCACCATGCATCATTCACACCTCACTTTCCACCTATATATACTGTCTTTTTAACCTCTGTATGTTAGAAGTGATCAAGGTCCCATCACCGAAGCGTTTTCTAATAAATATGTCCTAGTGTTTGCTTACATGTTTTTCTAAACCAAGTTGTCGATATCTGTTACCAAGGTTAATACCACTGTGTACTTTTATCCTCACCACTACTAATACTTGTTCTGCCTTTACATCATTGTGTGCAAATAACATTTTCTGATATCTCTTATTGTCTTCGTGTGTGTAATGTACGTTTATCTGTGGTGACCTTGTTGCTGAGTAATTTGTTATTTCTTTCCATGTAGAGTTCAAACACAGCTGCTACAAACTACACAGAAGAAGGAAATGAAGGATGACGAGGTATGATATTCAATTGTTTTGATTATCTTTTTGTGATTACCTGTTTATACTTATCTGTATTTGATTACCATACAGTTTGGAAGGATATGTTGTGTATCTTTATAGGTATATACTTCTAAACTGTTGTATTCTGAGCACCTCTGCAAAAACAGTGATTATGTGTGAGTGAGGTGAAAGTGTTGAATGATGATGAAAGTATTTTCTTTTTGGGGATTTTCTTTCTTTTTTTGGTTTTTGGGTCACCCTGCCTCGGTGGGAGATGGCCGACTTGTTAAAAAAAAAAAAAACTATTTCTGGGAGGTATACCATCTTTTAGGAGTGAAGAAGAGCGGGATGTGAGTGTGGGGAGGTGCATGAGGCATTACGTAGAATGAAAGGGGGTAAAGCAGCTGGAACTGACGGGATCATGACAGAAATGTTAAAAGCAGGGGGGGACATATTGTTGGAGTGGTTGGTCTTCTTCTTCTTTCAACGTACCAGCCGTATCCCACTGGAGTGGTTGGTATTTTTGTTTAATAAATGTATGAAAGAGGGGAAGGTACCTAGGGATTGGCGGAGAGCATGTATAGTCCCTTTATATAAAGGGAAGGGGGACAAAAGAGATTGTAAAAATTATAGAGGAATAAGTTTACTAAGTCATGCAAGGTTTCAGGTACATCTTGCTACCTCTACTTAAACTTACGTTACACTACACATACATGTACAAGCATATATATACACACCCCTCTGGGTTTTCTTCTATTTTCTTTCTAGTTCTTGTTCTTGTTTATTTCCTCTTATCTCCATGGGGAAGTGGAGCAGAATTCTTCCTCCGTAAGCCATGCGTGTTGTAAGAGGCGACTAAAATGCCGGGAGCAAGGGACTAGTAACCCCTTCTCCCGTATAAATTACTAAATTTAAAAAGAGAAACTTGCGTTTTTCTTTTTTGGGCCACCCTGTCTTGGTGGGATACGGCCAGTTTGTTGGAAAAAAAAAAAAGTTTACTGAGTATACCAGGAAAAGTGTACGGTAGGGTTATTATTGAAAGAATTAGAGGTAAGACAGAATGTAGAGTGGCGGATGAGCAAGGAGGTTTTAGAGTGGGTAGGGGATGTGTAGATCAAGTGTTTACATTGAAGCATATATGTGAGCAGTGTTTAGATAAGGGTAGGGAAGTTTTTATTGCATTTATGGATTTAGAAAAGGCATATGATGGAGTGGATAGGGAAGCAATGTTGCAGATATTGCAAGTATATGGAATAGGTGGTAAGTTACTAAATGCTGTAAAGAGTTTTTATGAGGATAGTGAGGCTCAGGTTAGGGTGTGTAGAAGAGAGGGAGACTACTTCCCGGTAAAAGTAGGTCTTAGACAAGGATGTGTAATGTCACCATAGTTGTTTAATATATTTATAGATGGGGTTGTAAAAGAAGTAAATGCTAGAGTGTTCGGGAGAGGGGTGGGATTAAATTATGGGGAAATATATACAAAATGGGAAGTGACACAGTTACTTTTTGCTGATGATACTGTGCTTATGGGAGATTCTAAAGAAAAATTGCAAAAGTTAGTGGACGAATTTGGGAGTGTGTGTAAAGGTAGAAAGTTGAAAGTGAACATAGAAAAGAGTAAGGTGATGAGAGTATCAAATGATTTAGATAAAGAAAAATTGGATATCAAATTGGGGAGGAGAAGTATGGAAGAAGTGAATGTTTTCAGATATTTGGGAGTTGACGTGTCAGCGGATGGATTTATGAAGAATGAGGTTAATCATAGAATTGATGAAGGAAAAAAGGTGAGTGGTGCATTGAGGTATAAGTGGAGGCAAAAAAATGTTATCCATTGAGGTAGAGAAGGGAATGTATGAAAGTATAGTAGTACCAACACTCATATATGGGTGTGAAGCTTGGGTTGTAAATGCTGCAGCGAGGAGGCGGTTGGAGGCAGAGATGTCCTGTCTAAGGGCAATGTGTGGTGTAAATATTATGCAGAAAATTCGGAATGTGGAAATTAGGAGGTGGAGTGAATAAAAGTATTAGTCAGATGGCTGAAGAGGGTTTGTTGAGGTGGTTTGGTCATTTAGAGAGAATGGATCAAAGTAGAATGACATGGAGAGCTTATAAATCTGTAGGGGAAGGAAGGCAGGGTAGGGGTCGTCCTCAAAAAGGTTGGAGGGAGGGGGTAAAGGAGGTGTTGTGGGCAAGGGGTTTGGACTTCCAGCAAGCGTGCGTGAGCTTGTTAGATAGGAGTGAATGGAGACAAATGGTATTTGGGACCTGACGAGCTGTTGGACTGTGAGCAGGGTAATATTTAGTGAAGGGATTCAGGGAAACCAGTTATTTTATATAACTGGACTTGAGTCCTAGAAATGGGAAGTACAGTGCCTGCACTCTAAAGGAGGGGTTTGGGATATTGGCAGTTTGGAGGGATATATTGTGTATTTTTATACGTATATACTTCTGAACTGTTGTATTCTGGGCACCTCTGCAAAAACAGTGATTATGTGTGAGTGAGGTGAAAGTGTTGAATAATGAAAGTATTTTCTTTTTGGGGATTTTCTTTCTTTTTGGGTCACCCTGCCTCAGTGGAAGACGGCCGACTTGTTGAAAAAAAAAAAATTCTGTCTCATAAATATGCAAGATTTCAGGTACGTCTTGTTACTTCTACTTACACTTAGGTCACACTACACATTACTCACGAAATCATAATGACACGATTGCAAACAAACCATACCACGGGCGGGATTTGGACCCGCGGTCAGAGAGTCTCAAAACTCCAGACCGTCGCGTTAGCCACTGGACCAGCTAGCCACAATAAGATTGTGGCTAGCTGGTCCAGTGGCTATCGCGACAGTCTGGAGTTTTGAGACTCTGACCGCGGGTTCAAATCCCACTCGTGGTATGGTTTACACTACACATTCATGTACATGTTTATGTATACACACTCGTCTGAGTTTTCTTTGATTTTAACTTAATTGTTCTTGTTCTTATTGCTTTTCTTTTTATATCCGTGGGGAAGTGGAATAAAAATCTTTCCTCCGTAAGCCATGCATGTTGTAAAAGTCAACTAAAGTGCCGGGAACAATGGGCTAGTAACCCCTCTTCCCATATATTCTAGTACAAAGAAAAAGAAGAAAACTGTCAAAGTGGGATGTTTGAATGTGCGTGGATGTTGTGCAAATGATTAGAAGGATATGATTGTTGGCGTTGTGAATGAGAAGAAGCTGGATGTCTTGGCTTTAAGTGAAACAAAGCTGAAAGGGGTGGGAGAGTTTCAGTGGGGAGAAATAAATGGGATTAGGTCAGGGGGTTTCAAATAGAGTTAGAGCTAAAGAAGGAGTAGCAATAATGTTGAAGGCTAAGTTATGGCAAGAAAAGAGGGAATATAAATGTATTAATTCAGGAATATGTGGAGTAAAATAAAGGTTGGATGTGAAAAGTGGATTATAGTAAGCATTTATGCACCTGGAGAAGAGAGAAGTGTAGAGGAGAGATAGAGATTTTGGGAAATGTTGGGTGAGTGCATTGGGGATTTCAATGCTAAAGTGGGTACAAATGCTGTGGAGGGAGTAGTAGTTAAATTTGGGGTGCCAGGGGTAAATGAAAATGGGGAGCCTTTAATTGAGCTATGTGTAGAAAGAGGTTTGGTAATAAGTAATACATATTTTATGAAAAAGAGGATAAATAAGTATACACAAATAACCCGCACATAGAAGAGAGGAGCTTGCAACGACGTTTCGGTCCGACTTGGACCATTTACAAAGTCACACTAACGAGAAGTAAAGCATAAGAACATAAACAGAAGGAACACTGCAGCAGGCCTACTGACCCATGCAGAGCAGGTCCATGCGCTCCCCCCCCAGATTAGCCCAATGACCCACCCAGTCTGGTCACCTCTACTCAAGGAAGGAGCATGGCACCAGACCCAGCAGCACAAGCTAGTCAGGCCCAACTCACACCCACCCACACCCACTCATGCATTTATCTAACCTATTTTTACAAGTACACAACGTTTTAGCCTCAATAACGGTACTTGGGAGTTTACTTTCATCACAGTAAAGTTCTTTCCCCCTAATACCACTCCTCTCATCCAGCAGGTCATTTCTAACCTCAAAAAAGTCTACATAAAAGCAGTGTTTCAAAAGTGCTTTGAAGCAACCTTGGACACTCAGTTGACCCTAAAGAGTTCTGGAGGAATCACTTCACTATCCTCCATTGCATAAGCCTTATAGGTAAGGCTTGGCAGGGAGTGCCTTCCAGGACTTTGAACTCTGCTTGGAGAAAACTATGGCCAGATTGTGTCCAAGAGAAGGATTTTGAAGAGTTTGAGGCTGACCTCGACCCTGCCGACCCTTTGGACTCTATTGTGGCACTGGGGAAGTCCCTGGGGCTGGAGGTGAGTGGTGAAGATGTGGAAGAGTTGATGGAGGACCACAGGGAAGAGCTAACCACTGAAGAGCTGCAAGAGCTTCAACTTGAACAGCAACAGACTGCAGCTGAGGAACTTGCTTCAGAGGAGGAGGAAGAGGGAGTGAAGGAGGTGCCATCTTCATTGATTAAGAACATTTGTGCAAAGTGGAATGATGTGCAAAGTTTTGTCTAGAAGTACTGCCCTGACAAAGCTGAAACAAGCCATATCTGCAACATGTTTAGTGACAAAACTGTGTCGCACTTCAGGGGAATCTTAAAGAGATGCCAGAAACAGAGCACTCTGGACAGTTATTTTGTGAGACAGGGGTCCAGTGACTCTCAAGTTGTTCCTAGTGGCATTAAAAACAAAGAAGGGAAGTAACCCCAGAGAAGGCCTTGCTACCTAAAGTCTTTATGGAGGGGTATTCCCCTTCCAAACAGTAACTCCTCCCTCTTTCTTCCTCCCTGTCTTAAAGAAGCCAGCACTAGCCTTCAATAAAGGTATGTAATATTTATATAATTGTTAAAAACCAATATTATTTCATAGTGACTATCTGTCCATTTAACTTGTTTACCATTACTCAATTGTAGTCCCTTATATATTTTTTGTCCTTTAT